AAGTCACTGGGATCTGATGGGTCTTGTTTCTTCTTGTTTGATCACCTCCACTTTGCTCTATCTACCTAGTACTAACATCCTTCCTCCAAAGTATGGTTAAAGATAGACTTTTCCCCCAGCTACTTGATCTCACTCTGTGGCAGGATAGCAAGAATATGAACCCAGTTCTCTGGCAGTCATAAGGTTCTGTTTTCAGCTTTTATGTCTAAGATTTACTTTTAGATTGTTTTCTTCATGACTGCAGAGGGACTTCACTTAATTTTTACAGTGACATAATTAAAATGTACCTCAGCATTTGTAACTTTAAACCCCCAGAGACTTTTCCTATTCAGGAGGCAAAGATTTACTGTGAATATAAAGAGAGACATCGCTACTCCTCTCCTCAGCTAACACTGCCTAGTGTGAAACATATGACCTGATATCATGTGTCACAGATACATCTATACCATATTCATGTCTTTATCAATCTGTATGAAGGCATCAAGTGCCTCATCAGTCAATTTGCGGACGATACCAAGTTGAGTAGCAGTGTTGATCTGCTTGAGAATTGGAGGGCTCTGCAGAGGGATCTGGACAGGCTGGATTATATGTCTGTACCTGAATGTCCCTGTGGGGAATGTGGCGAGAAAGACACCGACTGTCTTTCTAAAGTGTTACTAAGATTTACTATCAAAAAATGCAGGAGTGACCGGAAGGAAAGATCATCAATGACAGCTGAGCAGACTTTTAGTTAGGAAATGGTATGATTATCCAGGCTGACATTTTTATTGCTTTATAAACTCATTTATTACCCATGTTATTTGTTTTGAGAACCAAAAAAAAAAAAAAAAAAAAAAAAAAAAAAAAAAAAAAAAAAAAAAAAAAAAAAAAAAAAAAAAAAAAAAAAAAAAAAAAAAAAAAAAAAAAAAAAAAAAAAAAACCGGAAAGGAGTTTGCAGCAATCAGACTTAAGAGGCAAAGGCTGGTGTGCATATCATTTATAGGAAAGCTGATACAAGAAGGAACAGAGAAGTTCCAGACTGTTGAGTCTCTGGGAAAGAGACTATCAGAAACCAATCTGCAGGCAAACTACGAGTGGCTGAAAACATCAGTCTCTGCATATTTATTTATTTTCATGTAGTGTTGGACACCAAAGCTTTGACAGGGTCAGACTACAGGCTGGACCCCTCCAAGCTGATGTGTCCAAGGCACTGGAATGAACTCTGAGAGAGCCTGGCAAAGGCTTGTCTCTGCCGAGGTGTAGCAAGCCCCTTCACAGGGATTTGGAGATGCAGCACTGGATAGATTTTTGTAAAATGCTTTGAAGTCAGACTGTGCCAGACCCTTGTGTCTGATGATTATGTTTGTTCAAGTTAGACCTCTGAGTTTGTAACAATGGAATTATCTATTTTTCAGAACAATTAACACAATGCTATTGTACGAGCTGAAGGTTGGAGGATTAATGTGGTTTTATCTACAAGGCACTTTTAAAGGCTAATTAAGAACCATTCAGTTTGCTTTGTACTGAATACTGAGAACATTTCACATTAGATGACTCTTGATTCTCTGAAGAGAGGGGTAGAGAGAGAAATGAATGGAAGAAGAGAGAATTGGAGAAAGAATGAACTGACATGCAAATAAACAAATACATCATAGGGATACAGCCAGTAGAAAGCAATAAAAAATTAATTCTGGTAACACTAGAGATAAAATTGTCTCTTGGACCAGAGGTCTTATCTAAAATATTAATCTCCCAATATATTCAGTATTTGAAATTACAAGTTTTCCTTGATAGAGGAAGAGAGATGGAGAGGAATAAAGAGAAATGCTTCTCTCGTAGCATTGTTTTAGAAATGTTTTTATCACCTAGTGTTTAAAGAGCATCTCCTCCTCTGTCTCTCTTGTGCCTGACAGTCTGTATATGGGGAAAGCCGAGTTAATGGGCCTTCTGTCAGAGACGGGTCTTCTGGGAGAAAGTATGAAAACATATGGAGCAGAGGTGGCACTTGGGTGCCAGAAGGACCCTGGAGCAAAAGGAGCTGCCTGCTGGTACAGGGAAGGATGTGGGTGGTGGTGAGTAGGCAGCTTGCCCTGCAAACACCTTGTTTTCAGGGATTGCAAGTGTCAGGGGAAGCAAAATGAGACACAAAATCAGAGGCATCCAGAGGCAATGCAGAATTTGAGAACCAGGATGAGGATTTTATTTTCCATGCAGTGGCCTCTGCTTAACCTTTTAAAAGGAAAAGGTAAGAGAACTGAAAGCTGTTTCCTGCTTTTGGATGCTTATCTATGCTGCTGCAGATTCAAGCACTTGGAGGTTCATTTTCTGTCTCTGTCCAAAGCATGTAAATACTATCAGACATTGAAGTGCCTGCTTTCAAAACTGGGCTATGCACTGCTCTTCTGTTGATCAAATATGGCAATTATTTCAGGCTTAAAATCTTTTAGGGATAACAATAGGTGCTGCCAATCAAAGCTAGAAAGTACACATGGATTCAGAGCAAGCTGAACGAGGAATAACAGTAACATGTGTAGCTAGAATATATTATGGATTACCATCCTCTTACACAAAGGCTGGTAAACTCTTCAGAAAGCAGCAACCTACAGAGCTAATAAAAGGGATAGAAATGTGCGGCTGTCTTGGTTTGTCTAATTTGTGTCTTTCTAGCATTGATAGGATGACTCACTGGATTTAGCAACTGCTTGTGAAGATGAACATATTAATAACTTTATGCTGTAGCTTTGCCATAAAATGTAATCTTTTACAATTCTGTATTCTCAAGTGAAATACAAGCTTAGAATCAGAATAAAATTAGAAAAGATATGTGAATTGTCAGCTTATTTTCTTTTTAAATCTGTGTTTATACATGTAAAAATGCAATTTAACTTGGAAAAGAGTATTCCCTTTCTACCCCATCCCTTCTCCAGTGTGTACAACTCCCTACTATAAAAGGCATTTAAATATGGGGCTACCAGGATAGTTCTCCAAGATAATTTGTATATTTCTGTATTGTACCAAACAGAAACTACCGTTTTTCTTCCCATCCATAAACACTTGAATAAGAAAGCTTATGCAGACCATGTAGGATTCAATGGCAAAGAAACCAGCTGCGTATTGACATTTGCATATGTAATCCACAATATTAGTAAACAAGGGGATATAGATCCTTTCGGCTTTTGATAACATTCAACAGATTTGAATATTTAGAAAACAGAGCAGAAGGTTGCCTTGAGTATGTGGTAAATACAGCTGAATATTTCAGTCCTATTTTGGACCTTTCTCTTTAGGTACTACCCTAGTCTACAGAAAGGTTAATCTAAGTACTTGATGGCTTGTGGAGGGTTATATAGAAAAGTGAGTGACAAAGCAGCAAGTAGAACTAGTGTTTCTAGGTATTCAGATGATGACCAAACCGCTAGATTCATCTTTTTTTTTTTTTTCTCCTTGATTTTAATGCGACAGTTTCACAGATTGTATCACTTAGTGGAGATGTCTTTGCATTTGTGCATCAAACATACTTGGAAATTTACTGAAATAATGGGGAAAAAAAATTACAACCTTTTTAGTGTGGACTAGACCCAAATGTTGATTTCTAATCTTATGGAAAAAATCTAACTTTTTGTTCATGACACTCAATTATGTTTAGAACATTCACTAACTTTAACTTTAAAAAAAAATCTTTTTTGGGCATGAACAAAGCCTCAGAAAGGTAATTATATATTTTCTACCACATTTACTTGCTTGATATGTTAATGTTTCTATTTATTACTTAAAATGAGCTATATTTGTAAAATAATTCATGGAAAAAGCTCCGCTCTCCATTCAGTCTGTTCAGACTATGCACCCTTTGAAACTACTTATTCTTTGGATTGATTTAATGTATAAGGAAAAGCAGTGTTTCTAATGTTTTTTGTAAAAATCCTAAGCTCATAGAACTGAAAATTACATGTATTATTTATTTATATATAATATGCATAAAATATGTATATATATCATAAGCAAAATTGCAATATAATATAATAAATATAAAAATATTGCACATATATATAACTATACTGTGATATATCTGTATCTATGTATCCATATCTCCCATATGGATTCTTAAATGATAATGAATTACATACACCTGTATCTCAAACTTGAAAGTGCTTACACTAAATAGTCAGATATGAACTACAGAAAAAGTCCAAGTTCAATTTCTTACCTGCTTTTTTAATTTCAGGGACAGCTGTCTTCTCATGTGCTTTCTCTTTTTTTCCTGTTTTTTCTAAGATTTAATTAAAGAAAGTAATTTACTATGCTAGAACTCTGAATCATACACTCGAATATGTAGTCAGCCAAGTCCTGGTGGGTACATGCTGAAAAAAGTGTGACTTATTTGGGAGTTTAGTTCAGATTATTCCCCTATAAAATTTGCAGCCAACTAGCCACAGAGCAATCAGCTGAAAATGAAAATTAATCAGTATATGCATAAACTATGGATGATTTGGACCCTTAATAATTCATCAAAGGCTAGGTGAAAATCATCAGTGCATGAATGTGGCACCTTTTAGCTTAAGCTCCAGTAGCAATGAGATCATTAAAAAATAATGAATGACTTAAATATTTTCACATGAATCCTTAGTGGATTTTAGATGCTTCCTGGGAATGAATTATCAAAATATTATTTAGATGGGTATCATGGCTTTGCAGTTTAGTCACTGCAAGTTTCAATTGTGATTCTATAAAATAAATAAATAAAAGAATAAATTTAATGCATTTTTGGAAAGTGGTGTACCATGAACCTAGCAATATCTTCCATGAGTTTTGTGTACTGCAGTATCACTTTGTTTTACTATATACTGACTCCATTAAATTGTCTAAAAAGCCCATAGATGGCCACCAAAAAGACGTTTTATTTGTCAGAAAATAAGTTTAGAATATATTGGACACGGAACACATAAGACAGATACTGAAGAAGTAACATGCAAATAGTGACTAAGCAACTAAGAGAAGGACAATACAGAGCCAGAACCATAGGATTAATACAACAAAAAACAAAGAGAAATGAGCCAGGAGTGTGAGTAAAAGCTGAATAAGGCCAGTGAGAAACATTTCCAACTCTTACCTTTCATTTTCGTTTCAGTCTTACTTCTTTTTTCATCAGTCTTCTTCTTTTCCTCTTTTCTCTCTAAAAAAGGAAACAGAAGTTCAGCTGACTACTTTTACATGGATATACACACACAAACCCTTATGTTTGTATGTGTATACACATCTGGGATGGGGTTCCTTCACCAACTGCAGTATATTTAGATTTGATAAGCAGGTCATTTACTACCAGCAGCTCAGAAATACAGCTTAATACTCTGAGTGAATGTGGTGCTAAGGGTAGAACTGGAACAAGTATGTTCTCCAGATTATTACTTAAGTAACTACTAATTCAAGAAATTATGCCCATTAACATGGTGAAACTAAGAGTTGTTTGTGGTGACTCCATAGCCATGCACCTGTTCTGCTTCTTTTGCTAAACCGAACTGAATGGCAGCAAAACTTGAAAGTGGTACTCGGGAACAAGCGTAGAATGTCATGAAAAGCCTGCATATACAATATGTCTTTATAACACCTTTTATGAATCGAATCTTTGAAACTGTCATTACAGGACTTCAGTTATTCACAGAGAGCTGCTGTTAAAACATCACCTACAAAAAAACATGACTTGCTCTTTTAGAAATATTTGCCTCTATTTTGTCAATTAAAGAATATTTTTCCTTATTTTACAACAAGCTACAACAAATTAACTACTAATTTCATTAATGTGTTTAATTAGAAAATTGAGAGTTTAGCAAAGGATATGAGGAAGCTGTAATTCTTACTTTTCCTTTGGGAAATGAATCCCTTTTTTGATGGGGAAGAATACAAGAGTACAAGAGTAGCTAAACTAAGTGCTTCTTTAATTACTCATCCATAAAAAGCCAAATTTGTTACCTTCAGCTTGTGCTGCATGGCTTTGGCTGTTATACATAGTGGAACTAAAATTTTGTGATATTTTACTGTTACATATGTGGATAAGAAACCAAGTTTTACTATCTTACAAAAGAGAGAACCATAAGCCTTAAATTAAGTTTTTTCTTTCCATACCCTAAAAATATTTAGGGTATGGAAATCTTTTCAGATCCAAGAAGCAAATATACTCCTATCCTTGCGTAAAATTAACATGAAGATAAAGGAAATATAGTAAAAAAAACAACTTACTTTTCACTTCTTTAGGTACCACAATAGACTTTTCTTCTGCATGGAAAAGTATATACAAATAAGGAAAAAAATTAAAATCTGTACAGCATCTTCCTAAATCAAAATAAATATGTTCAAGTTTGATTTCTGAAAAATTTAAAAATTGCTGGCTTTACAGAGTACATGAATTCCACAATCTGTCCATGGTTGTTTCCTAAATTTTTTATTTTGCCTATCATGAAGGCAATGTATTTACCAATATTCAGGGTCTCCCCAAACAACACTTGTACTGATTTTCTGACTATAGGATTTAACATTAAGCATAATATTGATGCGTTACAGCTCTTTCTTGTTTTAAACAGATTTGTTCAAGACTTTTTCCTGGCTGTTGTCTTCAGAAAATGAAACAGAAAACTCTTACATGCATTCTGCAGAATGTTTCTCCCAGTGTTTTATATGCTTAATTCTTCGGGAGTATGCTTTGTGATACTCAGGTTTCTTAGGCATGAATAGAGCATTAGAGCTGTGTTCATCCTCCACTAACTTGTTTGGAGCTTCATTTTCTTTGATATTGGAATATTTTTATTATTGGGCATCTCTAGGGTTCCAAGGAGTCTCTCTCTCTCTCTGACATGCTGTTCCAGAGACTTGTGCTAGGAACTAGGATCTCTCCTCAAAACGGATTTCACAGAAACTGTTCCATGGCTCCACTTTCCTGTACCACCTGACTTTTCAGTGTTTAATTTCCACATGTAATGTTGATCTTTTCTGAAATGTGGTTTGTTTATTTATTTGCTCACTCTACCTGAATTAACCCAATCTGTTAAACATACAATTGTGTCAGTTACTGTTAGAAAAGAGTTTCCCTCTTCCTTTGTTCCATTAGCCTTTACTCTAGTAACAGTAGCCTGAAGTGCTACCAGTACTTCTGTAATTTCCATTTTTCCAGTTAGACTGATTTTTTTTGCTTTCTTATACTTCTGGTGATGCAGAGGAACAATTTGAAAGCCCAGGTCTTTACAACAAATAAAATTCTTTTTAACCCAAGACCATTTCTGCCTTTGAATTTCTGGAGTTTGGCATGCTTCCGGGGTCCAGAAAAGCCACATGAAATCTGCCTTGAATTTCATAGCAAGGTTCAGAGCCATATGTGTCTTGAGAGCCATGAGCTGAGCCATTGAGCTTTGAGAAGTACAGCTTTGTATGGAACCTGTACAGGAAGTAGTGGGAATTTTTAATGCAAATAACCTAAAGCAAAGGCAACTACATTCCTGGCTACAGAGTCTTCATTGCTGAGTCATTCTACCAATTAATACCACTGACAAAATTTTCTTTCATCAAACTCTCAAGCTGCATTATTCAAAACGTCCAGGCAGCCTAGAGAACATCTGTATTCATTACGAAATTTCTGGAGGACAATTACATAGAAGTATTAAAAGGAATGTGGCCCCTATTTCCCATTTGCACTGCCTAATTGCAAGATATGCACTCTTGGTCAAGTTTGAGAAGAACAGTCACTGGGCTTCCATTGACATCTCAGCTGCTCCATTGCCGTCCCTCCCAGATACTACTGACAGAAGTTTTGGTAAATGAGAGCGATAGACTTGGTAAATGGATATTATGGAGAGCTATTTCTGATTTAACGAAGTGATCCCATTTCTGGAATAAATTTATTTCCTCCCAATTTGAGGAGCTCACGTTTAGGATGTTGCGTAATAAGTGTATATTTAACACCAGCAAAACTTGTAATTTCTGAATCAGTAAATGTAGTGGGCTTTCTTCAGATATGTACACAGCTAAATTAAGAGGCAGAGCAAGTAATTAAATAGGAACTTAACAAGTCTTCTGTGCTGTAAAATATGAACCTCATCTGTTAATTGAAAGGACTTAGTTTTTTATCTAAGAACAGTAACAGAACTACAAATGACCACGGATCAATTGCATAAAGAGGGATCATAATATCCACAAACTGTGGGTTACACACGGAAACACAAGGTGCTTTTGATGATTCCACATTGATGACAATATGGAATTCAAGTGCAATTGAACATTGAAAAATCTATTGTTATTGCTCCTGCTTTTAGGTAATGTAACTAATGGTATTTTTTTTTCACCAGCAGTGCTAGTCCTAAACTAGGATAGGATATAAGACATATGGGTACAAAAAGACCTCATCTTCAAAAGCCTGCAATATCTTTACAAAAATGAAATAGGGATATATGCAGCTGGGAGAGTACATGACAGAATCAGGAGTGCAAGGCAAGCAATGGACTTTTCACTTAGTCAAGGCTTTTTTTTTCTGTAGACTCTTGTAGAAGTTGAGCTTTATGTAGTATAAGAAGTAAAGTGATCATAAGAAGTGTGAATTAAAGCAGGGATGTACTACTGAATGGGAAATTCAGGTAAAATTATTTTCCTGGGTGAAAAATAAAAAGAAGCAGCATGGAATAGTTTTCTTGAGAAGTGACTGGATTGAAGAGAACAGCCTTTAGAGCAAAGAAACATCTAAGATGGAATTACTTATTTTTGAATAAGGGGTGAAGGACCGAGGCCAGTGGAAATCCAAGTAAGATTCAACAAAGACCAAGAAAGAGGTGTTTCAATCTGAATTGCTTTTATTCATCTTGGACAATGTCTTTGTGTTGTTCTCATTGAACAGCAACTAATTCTTGGACAACAGTGGGAGAGCAGATAACAGAAGCATGTTAACAATGCAGCACTTGAAAACAGGCCTTATGAGACTGGTGTGCTTATGGTGCCAGCACTGAGTGGAATCTAAATTTAGGGATGCTCATGAGTTACTGGGCATAGTGTCATGGGAATATTGCACAGGAACTGGAAGAAGAAGGTACTCTAAGATTTTCTTCTCTGAATTGCTCCTGATGGTTCATGTGCTTATGGAAAGACTGACTCAAAGAAATTGTCAGCTCATCACATCCCCTCTGAGAAACTGAGGTAAGGAGGGAAGCAAAATACAGCCACGGATTCCTTCTTGTGGAGAGGTATGCATACAGCAAACACTAACTAGTGGGACTGAATGCCAGAAGTTTGGAGAAGTTTTGGTTCACCTAAGCTTTCTTAAGTTCAGATACTTATACAGGGCTTATCCGCATTTATCTAAAACCCTGTTACCAGGAAATCTCAGGAGAAAAGCTCTTGCGAGAGACTTTGGATACTGCCTGACTTTGTGAAATATTACCGCAGCTTTTCTTGCCTACTGATTCTCATCCTGGAAGGACTAAAGAGCAACAGAGATGCATGTATACTCACTCACATATGACCAGAACAAAACATTTACATAGCTTTTCTTGAGAAACAATAATTCAGACTGAACACAATAACTTCATTCCAGCTGAAACTTTATTCTGTTTTTCTCCAAGCAGCTCTGTACATCTTAAGCTGTCACTGACATAATTTTAAAAGACTATTCCTTATTAATTTTGAAGAGATTACAGTTGTTCTTTGTTTTACTGGTGACTGAAATACTTTCCCTGCTGAACTCATTAAAAGTTTTGCTGTTGATTTCAGTGGAATTTGAATACCCTTTTAAATATTAGAATACCTGCTTGTGTTTCAGTTTTCGATAATATTTCTTTCCCCTTTGTGTTTTGCTTAGAGTGGAGCCTGACCGTGATTGGTCAGTTGCACTTTTGATTCTAAACAATTTAGCACATTCACACAATTTAACACATTCACACAATAAGGCCACTTTAGGGTTACAAAACTTCTGGAGGAGTAAGAAACAATGCAAGGAAATATTTTTGCTTAGTTTAGGATGCAGTGGAAACCCATACTTTTAAGATTAAATCTAAATTTCAATTAAAAATGTACCTCAGCCCTCTCTTCAAAAAAAAAAAAAAAAAAATCCCTTTCTGTGTCCTTGTTGGTCCAGTTATTTTCCCTATGAGAAATAATTCTCTTTAGATTCAGTCAAACTACTGAAAGGTCAAGAAAGATCAAAGAAACCTAAATAATATTAATCTAAAGTTCTTAGAATTGCTTCTTTTAACACACAAACATATATACTCTCATACACACTCATATGCTCTCTCTAACTTACAGGTGAATGCTTAGGCCAAAATGAAGTGCATTTTTTTGCAAAGCTCTGTTTAGGTGGTACCTTTTTTTTCAGCAGAGTAATTAAATACAATTTGTTCTCATATTGAGCAAGGGAGAAACTATTTGGGCACATGGATAATTAGAGACATAGCAGAAGTCCTAGGCAATTTCTCCAGCTTGACTCTGTTTTTGAAACTGCTTTACTGTTTTCAAATCCCAGTCTGAAACACTATTTGGCAGCTGTGAAGATTGCTTGTGGAGATATTTTTGAGGTCTGCAGAATCTATGTAATAGCAGTACCATGCTTGAAATTCCTAATGTTTTCATGTGACCTACATAAATGTTTCTCATTTCTTCCTGTAGTGATTATAGGCTCCTTTTTCATGGCTCTGTTGAATTAAGCATCAGAACTGTTTGCTAATAGCATGAGGCCATATGTTGCCCTCACTAAACAACACAGTGGGGAGCAAAGGGATAAAAATACCAGTGCAATGAAGCCAGAGCATGCATGCCAAGAGAAAAAAGAGAGGGCAGGCCAACTTACAAGACAAGACCAGCAGCAAGAACTCTGCTGGACAGTGGTCAATGGCAAATACGATGCAAATATGATTTGACAGAGAATTAATTCCCAGGGGTACACTGACTTATGGTACAACCTTCACTAGCGAGAGCCAAACCAACAGAGATAAGGCAGCAGAGTTAGCCTTCTCCATCCTTATGACTAACATTCCTACTAGGCAACATGAATCAACAGCAGCACCAATTGTGTTACCAGTGATGGTAAGGATATTGCTGCCACTTTTTACAGGGTATGCTTTTTAGCAAGAATGTCTGTGCTTTAATAATGGGATGATGAGGTTATGCAGGACCTCCTCTGCAAGAGTTTCCCTTTTCTTTCCAAAGAAAAATAGAATTGCTATCTTTGAAAGCCCAGAGAATCTCAACCAAGTAAGTATTTTCCATTTGCAGGTACAACATATGCAAAAGATTATTGCATTTCTTTAACATTTAAAAAGCACTTGAAAAATTAAAATAATCTTCAGAGCTATTTATTTGTATTTTATTGGATAGATATTTTGGTGAATATTTACATTAAAATGTGCAATCTAATAAAGTAAATTGTATTATTATTATTAATGATAAGACAAAATAATTTTGTCTAATCAAAATATATATATCTTCATAAGTATTTTTCTACATTCTAGTAAGTTTTTTTCTAATGTCTGTTTAACTTTTTGTATTTTATGATGGAATAAAAGTGGTACAGAAGAGCCTCATGTCATTAAGGAAAATGTCAAGGGCTTTCTGAAACCATGAAAATTTAGGGTTTTTTTCATCATAGCTAAATCATTAGAATATAGTGCTTAAATGTCTAATTTAAATCATTAAATAACTCACTTTGGAACTTTGTTCATATTATTTCAAAGGTTTTACTGTCTTCAGCGCAGACTCATGGAGATGTAGGGCCCATGTTTCTCAAAAAACCTTGTTAAGCTATATATAATGTCTTGAAGCTAACTAAACTGTTCCATCTAGATTAAAACCTAGCCTGTTGTGTTATGCTATTTCTCATAACGCTATTTTTCTCTCTATTTTTTTTTTAATTCTTTCTAGGATTAAAATTTATCAGAAAATGGATTTTTATCCACAATTCATGTCAATATTATTGAGAATATTCTAAATTGGAAGAAATTTTTCAAAATTGTTCTTTTTGGAAAGGTTTTTGTTTTATCTTGAATCAATGTCTTTCACTGCAAGGATTTTTTTAAGGGTAATTGATTTTATAGTACAAAAGAAAAAAAAATTTTTTTTTATAGAACATTCTTTTTACAGAAGAGAAGGCAGACATTGACAGACTGTACAGAAGCAGATTGATTTGTACAAGATTTATACACTTCTATACATCAAGGGAGCTTTGTCAAAATTTGTATTGACTTTAGTAATTTAAATATTCTCGGTTATATCCCATAATATTATATTCATGAACAGAAATATAGACTAGAAATTCTTCTTAAGATAGCCGGGTAATGTACATTCAATACAGCAACAAACATAGATGCAGTTGCCAATTTAGCATCCACAGGAGTTTTGGAGGAAGTTAAACACATTTCACAGCAATTTGCTTCATTTCATTCTGCAAAATTTGTAATTAGAGGATTCAAACAGTGACCTAGAAAAAATATTTTTTCCTCATAGGTTCCATGAAGATGCTACAGAAACTTTAATTTTTTTTTTTTTTCTAAAATATCAGCAAGATGGCAATGAACAGCCAGTATACTTCAGTCAGAGAAGGGGGATATTTCAGAGCCTGTCATGATGTATTAACAAATCAGAATGGTTATGATGATGACTCTTCCGTGATCAATCCTCTCCCACTCAAAGATACAAGCACAGAGTTCAAGGACAATATAACCTGGAAAATCATACTCTGATACAATGCCGTTCAAAGGTTTTTCATGATACAGGGCTCTTCAAAGTGATACAAAGCAAAGCCTGTGTGAGATCATATGTAATATTCATTGATTCCTTCCACCAGGAGAAACATTTTGATAAAGGCTTCTCACAAAGGTGCTGTGATCTTGTGAGAAAGCAAAGACAGGCGATTCTGAGACAATTAACATGAAGCCTTACAGATAACTAGCTAAGCCTGAGCTTAGTTTTGACATTTCTTGTCTAACTGCAGCATCTTCCTAAGAGATTACCCTGCCATGTCAGAGAGCACAACATGAGAGGACTCTCAGAAAGGAGAGTCCTTCTTACATGAATGGGGAAATGGAGGAAGCTAAAAGCTATGTGAGCTGAGTGAAAATGTCAAGACCTGAGGGAGAGGATCACAGAGAATCAGTGTACACTGCAAAGCAGTTTTAGGATGCCAGTGAATAAAAAATACAAGAAATCTAGAGTTAAAAAGGTGGAGAAGACTACAGTCAAGGAAGAAGAAGCATATTAAAGTCAAAGTTCAGGCAGCCAAGGAAAACTGATCTGTTCAAATTACAGGCAACACCAGTGTCCTCCCTAGATGGCAGCATCAGAGTGTCAGCCAAGCTGAGAGCACTGCTTCCAAGTCCTTGTGAAAGCTCCAGAAAAAGATAAGATAAAGAATTTAAAAGTTATTTCACTTCACAGCTTACCAAACAAGGTTTCCAAGCTTGAAACTTAGGTAGAAGTTAGGTATTTCTCTTCACTAATTTCCTTTTCCTCTTTCTCTTTTTTATTGTTACAAGACCTTTTGTTTTGTTTTATTATTCTCTTCTCTTGGAGACCTGAAACTTCAAGCTCTTCATTGAACTTTGATGGTAAGATCTTTGAAAAGAGCCAAAGAACCGTGAAATAGGAGAGCAATGATCTGTTCTTCTTCTTTCTGACTGGATGAATACAAAGCATTTTGTGTTTTGACCAGGAGATAGCTGAAAATTTCATCTCACACACACACATAGTAGCAGAGCATAGTACCTGCAGGGTATTGGATACTATCCAGGAAAAGCTTTCTATTTGAAAATATCAAATAATCTAAAAATTTTGGAGATATCTGGCACACATACTACAACTAGTTTCACCTTATCAGAAAACGAGAATGGTCCAAGATTACCTAAGAAAGAAGTGGCAAAACAGAGCAAAAGTGAAAACATATCAATCTAGAAAAAGAGTAAATTCTTTCAGCCTTCACCAGCGGTATGATTATGTATATAGTGTCTGGCTATCAGCGAGTTGGAAAGCCCAGGGTATAAATAGACTGGTTCCATAAATTTTCTGTGTGTTAACCATTCTGTTACTTCCTACAGTTTTACCATTTTTTTGGAACTTTTTTTCTGTCATAGGCTGGACCAGCCTTTCATGTTTTAAGTGCATTTCTCAGTTAATAAATACTTCTACTTATTCCCTTTTTTGAGAATGTAATGAACTACCTTCAATTATATTTATGATAAGAAGGATCTTTTATTTCAATCGGCCTCTTTGCCTGATCAGGGATATTTAGTGATGTACCAGTCATAAAGGTATGTAAGCACTAAGAGGTCACATGCAGATGTCTCTAGCTGTTTCTGAGACTTATATTTCCTTACCTAGTCCTCTTTTTCCCTTCTGACATTGTGCCAAATATTCCTAAAAATGACTTTTTTTTTTTTTTTCCCCCAGGGCTGAAATAAAGCTTCAGGGTTTAGGTTCCTAAAGGCAGTGTGACATATTTTTTCATGTACAGAAAACATAGAATAGAACAGTATAACAGCTTTTCAAAGTAGCATTTTACAAGTAATTCGGCCTTCTTTGTTTCCTCTAAATCTCTTGCATGAGCAGTATTGTATCCTAGTGACCAGCCTTGAGCTTTAAAGGGAATTCACTTGTATGGTTCTGAGCAGATAATCTGCCCCCCACAATTTGTTTGCCAAATGGGTGTCTAATTTACATTCCCAATTACCTCAATTGCACACATAAATGAGCTAATGAAACACACAAATGTGTAACTGGTCATAAAGAGTCATTTCTAAGTGCAATTGCAGTAATTGCATGCTCCTCATGATTTTGAAAATCAAGAACCTAATGTTAATTTAATGCTAGTTCATCTTGTATAACAGTTATATTTAAAGCAGAAGTTTATCACTCAGCAAATGTGGCAGTCATGTTCTATTATGTCTTTTTTCCATTACGGTTAATTGGTGGATAACAGTGTTTAACATTGCAGTGACTTCTTTCTGCTGATAAGCAGGGATCAGGCATTTTCCTAAAATAAACAGGACTGCAAATCTATTTATATACTATACTGTGTCACAATAACTGCAGTTTTGTACTCCTTTAAACAAAGTGTTTAAAAAGAAATATTCATTTGAGGTAATGAGATTTTGGGGAAAGAGATAATAAGTCACCTAACTATTTTTGTCCAAGTGTTCTGGTCACAATAATAACATCACAGAAATATCTAATTAATGCTTTGTTTTAGTCACAGGTCCTGCCAAAATCTAACTCTCATTTTCTGTTTCCAAATGCAGTTAAATCTTGTAGCTCTTGTTACTTATTCTGCTGCCATCCCATTTGTTTTTCTCTTAGACTGCAATTTCTTTCTGGATAGCATAGAACTAAGACCTCTATAAGAGAAATTAAGTGCTGTGGTGTGACTAAATGACTCTGAAGTATCATATGAAGACTTCTATATAATTACATGAAAAGAATCATGTATTATTAAATTTGTATTATTAAATTGCATGGTATAAAGACTAAGAATGTGTATTGCAGTAGTAGTTCTAAGTCATTGGATGTCGTCCATTTTAAATTAAAATGCATTTTTTAACCAATTTACTATTATGGTTAGACTATAAACAAAATAATACAATAGCAGGGATTATGTTTTAATCTTCTGAATGTAAAATCTGACTTTGTATTTTTCTTTTAGTCATTTTAACAATAGAAATAGTGTTGATAAATGCAGATCCGGAAATATTATGTTCATTATTGCAGATAATGCACAGAAAAATTACTGAATAACAATAGCTGAAAGAGTAATCCAAAGTATTTTAAGAGGATAAGGTTGATTATGTTTATAGTTAGATAACAACTTATGGTTGAACATCATTCAAAGCATTTTATATATTAGGCCTCAATTCTGTAATCTGTTTCACTCAGGAAATCTCACAAGCCATCTGTGGGACTACCATAAGGAACACTCAGGTATTGTGCATATTTCAGTGTACCATTCCTGTCCCAACCCTAATTATTTGATCAGCTTTGTAATATAGGTTATGCTTACAAAAAATAAAAATAAACAAAAAATCCATTTGGACAGACAGTCAAGTTAACGAGAAGAAGCCAATAAAAGTAGAAAAACTTGCCTTCAATAGCTGCTGGTTTCTTTCTTGGACTGTGTTCTAGAAGAAGACGAGGTGGTACAAATTCCTTATGTCCTGCACACAAGCATACTGGTTAAGAAGCATAGAAAATGTATTCACTAACAGGTTGAGCAGTTTCCCTGGGAGGCTGAACTCGCTTCAAAATTGCTCATGTTTAAAATATTACACTGAGCATAAAAGCTATTATCTTTCAGACACCTTAGGAAGGAAATGTATTTCTCAACAAATAGAGTAATTTATTTTTAAGAGACACATTTGAAATCAATGAAGTCCGGGTGACTCAAACATATGGTGAAATGCTTACAGTTTTATTTTTCTTCATTAGACTCAAAACTGAACTATAATACTTTGCTAATAAGCTTACATATTCATGATGCCTCTTCTACACTAAAGGCTTATTTTTTTCTGTCAAACAAATGATCTTCAGTTGTTCCCTCAAGTCCACTTATTATGAACTCCTTGAAACACCAGCAAAAATTATGATGTTTCTCATCCTTAAGGATTATTCTTAATTAGGCAATACCAACCAATACATCACACATTGTAAACACTGAGGTCCTGATTCCAGCTGCTGGCTGAAACACCTCTGCTCTCTCAGAGTGTTCAACTGGGACTCTTTGTACTGTCTCAGCCTTTGAGCAGATATCATGCTTTATAACATAGCATTTTTCACTTCATTTCTCCCAAGATTCACAAGCAAATTTAGTGTACTCTTATTACTTATGCTTATTTTCTGTTTTCTAACATGTTTGCAGTCTCCTTATTTCCTTTTAATTCGTTTCTCCAACATTTATTCTCAGTAGCTATCATTTCATTGTCATTGTCATTTGAAATGTACATTTTTTTTTGTGACATAAGAAATAAAAATTAGCTAAATACAATTACGCACCAGCATACATTCACTGCACCAGAGTCCACATGCAATCAGGCTGTTAAATCTCAGCTCCAGCTCCATGTCAGAAGCTCAAAGCCATGCCTCATGCTTGATATAGACTCAGAAGAGAAATTAGGATCTTAATGGGCCTTGGAAACTGCAGTATCTTACTTACTCCTCTCATTTTACGAAGGTATGTGTACTCAAAGGGAATGCATGAGAAAAACATCATCTTGGAGACAGAAGTGGGATTTGAGCATCATGGTCTTAATGTTATTGCATCTCATCAGCATATGTACAATTGCAGGTATGTGGTTTAGTTCATGCAGTAATTTGTATAAAATACCATGTACAGAGCTGCTCAGACTTGACTCATGTACCTGAGCTACTGAGAAAATGTTGACACATTGGTAAAATCAATGCTTGAAGGTGCTTTGCAACAAATAGTAAAAATCTTAGGTTTTACACATAATTCCTGTTTTGGCAATAATCACAAGTGGACATTTACCAACCTCATAATAGAATAATTATAGCCTTAAAATGAATGTTAGGCAAACTTTAGGAATCTAGGTATTTAGCTATGATTTTCCAAACACTTTATGTCTTAAAAAAAAAAAAAAAAATCTTGAAGTTGCAAACTGAACTAATGAACCACTGAACACTTTTTTTACCAACCACAATACAAAAGTTATATCCATAACCTTTGTCAAAATACAGAAACTTCATCAGTTGAATTTCTAGTTCAGAATAGGTAATCCTATTCTTTCTGCTAGGTTTGATCAGACTAAAGATTTTTTTTTTTTTTTTTCCCCCCCCTAAACTAGATCACCTATCCCCAGGTAGGAAAACTGATCATTTTATAACTTAAACTAATTGTTTTGTGTGAGAGATGATAAGGAGTAGTGGCTCAGAATGTTGAGTAGATGAATAATGAAGAAGGATAGCCAATAATTTGGACTGCAGTGTACTATCTGCAGCGTGGGGCAATGGTCTAACACCTCTAGGTCAAACTGTAGGCTGGCTCCATTATCTTCTTGTTCTTTGCTATAGCAGCAGTTCTCTAATGATTGCACCAGTGTGAGTATAATGCCAGTACGGTACCACTTACTGCTAATGACTTGTCAAGTTCTATTTTATAGTTTTACAAGTTTTAAGAAAATAATTTATTTCATGCAAATTGACCACATGATCCAATAGGAGAGTGTTTTAAGCACAAAAAGCTTAAGCTTCACAGATCAAAAACTTTCCCTTAGGCCAAAATGTTTGTTCTGAGCAGGTTCCTATCCACTCTGATAAAAGGCTTCTTTAATGTTTCCATGTCTTATTAAATGTCTCTATATTCACTTTGATGGGATTGCAAAGGACAGTAGCTGAATAAATATTTTATTCATTCTTTTGATGAAATATGTTAAAGGGGATAACCTAAGTCAAATTTCTTTTCTTTTCCTTTTTCTCTCCTCTTTAAGTTATAAAGCACAAGTGGTTTTCTGTGGTACAGATGACTCATAAATAGAAATGAGGAATTGGCTTTAGCAGATCAGACCGCTAGGATTAATGGTGTCTACTATCTTGACTCCAGCAGTGGCCAATTGGACACATACCCATGATGTAAATGAGAGGAAGGCAGGATGTTTTTAATTCTCCCAGTGGGCAACAAGATTAGTCCATGAATCATGAGAACTCATTATCCAAATTACCACTATTATTATTGGACATACATTTATCTGAGCACTGCATTGTATTTGCTTCTCATTTCAAATGTAGACTTTACTTTTCTACCATGAGATAAGCTGAATAAGTTTGTTTAACTTTCTTTTTTTTTTACTTTTTTTTTTTTAAAACTTTTATTAGGGTTTGATTGCTGAAAAAGACATTATTGCAAACACAAAAATGGGCACACATTTCTATGCTTAATCTGTCCATACAGTTGTTGTTCCACAACATTTCCATACCTAATCTGTCCATGCATTTTTGCTACAGATATCTCTTTCATATGCAATATTGTAAACAGTTCTCTGACAATAAATTACATCAGATGACAACTGAAATAGTGAAATGTTTTGGTTTTAAGCTCATGGGAATGTTCTCATCAGAAGATTAAATGTCACATTAAGACATGAGTAGCTCCTTCCACTGCCTGAATGGAAAAAAATATGCTGCAAGGATTAGTAGAAGGTTTAAAACACTAGATGGTAAAATGAATACTTCATTGAAAATAAGCTACAGTCCTCCAACTCTGTAAACTTCTGTCATTGGTGTTTATTAAATCACTTATGATGTTTTGAATAAATTAATTCTGACTTGGTTTATTAGTATTTTAGATTTTCTATTGCATGGTAAGGAATACAAGACAAAATTTAATTACCTTAATTTTCTCAATCTAGAAAGTGTCTTTCTACATGTATCAAAAATGTCATATCCAGACATTGTGGATAAATTGAATTTTTATGACAACAGCCAATCATGTGAGTTTTCTTTCTTTCCTGATCTTTGGAGTTCTATTTGTCAGCAGAACCCTTAATAAATTGTCAAACTATATCTTTCTAAATCAAAAGATCATGAGATAAAATAAAATACTTCTAAAATTATTCTTATTAAATAACTAAGCACATTGTATACAGATGAATATTCCAATTGGGAATAGAGAGAAATAATACCACGCCAGAATGTAATATGTGGAAATACCATTCCTATGACTGTTCACTTACTCATACCTGTATACTAGTTATTTGAACAACAGGAATCTTACATTCCAACAGCACCAACACTTTATTACTGTGTCCCTCAGCAGCAGCAAAATGTCTTCAGATGAATCTCATTCTGCTCATATGTGACATCATTCTCAAATGATAGTAAAAATAATTGAAATAAAGCAAATGTGCTCTTTGCAGAATCATTTGTAACAAAAAGTAAATTCAAATCCAATGTTTCACAAATCTTGGAACAAGACATGGATCAACAGAATGAGGTAAGACTGCCAAATATGCTTTTAGAGGACTGAAAACTTAATGAAGTCCGAACATTTTTTCCAGGTTTCCCATTTTGACATGTAAGTTGCTAGAAGGTGAGTCTCTCCCTTGCTATCAGTCATCACTCCCCAGACATTAGACTGTTGCTATGTTGAAGAAGGATTTCTCTGCTCAGTGCACATGCATGAAAAACTATCAGCAAGCTGCTTTTCATTAAGAAAGAACAGCTGTGGATCAAGAGGTGAGATTGTATTGAACAATGCAAATGCTCATTTTCAGGAAGGAATGAGCTGAAATACTGACATCCATACAGGCATTCTTTTCTAAGGAACGTATTGTTACATAATGGTTTTATGCACATTAGTAATTAAATGGCGCCTGAGAACACTACTAGGCTCTGGAATTCAGACATACGTATCCTGCAACATTGTTTTGAATAGTCCCCGACAGCTTTGACCTGTGCCAAGCAGCAATTTCTCAAACGATTAATTGGCTCAATTCAGCAGTTAGCAAGGGCCAGGGACCACTCCCAATAGATGGCCAGGAGACAACCAACCCATTTCAACCTTGAGAAAGTGTACTGGACATGGATCGCTCTATGACAGAAGAAATCACATTCAGAGAACAGTTGAACTGAGTTTGGTTTACTAATCTAGATGCAGCCCATAAGTCTTAAAAGTGATAACAAAATCATATCAAATGGAAAAAATAGTTTAAACAGGGTCTTAATTACCTAATTGGAACTGAATTTTTGGCAGTGGCAGATGGAATTAATGGATAATAAAAGGAGGCTTTTAAGAAAGTATGTCTTAGAAGCCAACATATATTTCAGTTTTTCAGTTGCACTCAGGATTTGGGTCTTTATTAAATGGATAATTGCTCAATAAAAAGTGAAACTCTGATTCTGTGTAAGGTTGGTATTACCAAAGAAAAGACTCTGTTACAGTGGTGCTGTGATTACCAGCACCAATGAAATCCTTTAAATTTTTATATTATTGTGCACACTGACTATCAACCAGTTACTTTTATGATGCATAAGAAAAGAAGAAAAGGAGATATTAGGTGGATAATGCTCTATCTGTCTATCTATCTATCTATCTATCTATCATCTACCTACCTACCTACCTATCTATCTATGTTCCACTGTATCTATATATTTAAATCCATTAAAAATATCACAGACAATTTGGAACTCTTCATAGATCCTAACT